AGTGCTGTTTCCCCCTAACATCTTTAACATAGAAGAGTGGGCTTGTTTCTTTACTGACCCTCACTCACCCACATCCCCGGTCTTAAAAAGCAGTCAGTAATTTGATCTATAATTTGAACCAGAGCGGCGGAAGAAAACATCTCAGGAGAAACTCAAGCTGATCCAGGAGTGAGAAGTGTCGGCAAAATGCAGAGGTATATTGTGAAGAAAATACAAGGAACCTGCTTGACTTTAATTTCTTCTTTCGGTTTCTTTCTTTTTTTTTTTTTTTTTGCTTTGTATCCCTTCTGGGAAAGGGAATTCTGTTTTGCCCATGTACAATTGCTGTAATCTGATCTGAGCATGAGATTTCCCCTCAAGCTGTTCTGTATCCTTTTCTATTTCAAGCATTGTCTGCTCTGCAAAGCTTGTCTGCTTGTCTCCTCTGTTTGCACGGAGCTTCGCTGGAGCTCTGAAAACTGCCAGTCTAAATTTCCCAATTTTAAGCAACTGGTGCTTACGGAGGGGCATCCCAAGCAGACGCTGAAGGCACGGTGCTTTTGTTTTATTGTGTTACATTGTTGTGAGCCACCCAGAGTTGTATAAGATGGGCAACCGTATAAATCTTTAAAATAAATAAGTATATGAGCCTAATGGGAAAAGCTGGATATTTTTTTGGAGAGGGGTACATTCAGGGCTTTAAAGGAACCAAAACAGAAACCCTTTAAAGCTAAACCCATTTTTTCCCTTAATGCCTGCACCCCAAAAAAATCCCTGGAAAAATCATCTTAAATTTGTGTGTGGCCATGTACAGGAGTGAAATAAATATCTCAATGCTCTGAAAGTACTGCTAACGACCATAATTTTGCTCCTTAAATTCCGACAAGTCCCTCCTCCAATACACTTTTAAAAAGTTAAAGTGTTCAGCTAAGGCTAAGCCCATTCTGTAGGGCTTCCTTTGGAAGTTACATATGGGACTTCTGGAGAGCATGTAGAATTCACAATCTACCAATTTCTAGCTTGTGTGAACCTAGCCAATTGTGTCTAGTAAACAAAAGAGGGGCAAACAAGTCATAGCATAAAGCAATATAGATGAATAAAATCACTGAAACAGGTGGCATTACAGCCCTACTACTTCAAGAGCCTTGGTGGCGCAGCAGACTAAAGCACTGTTAAGTAGCACCAGCTGCCTGCAATTATTGCAAATTCAAATCTCACCAGACTCAAGGTTGACTCAGCCTTCCATCCTTTCGAAGTAGGTAAAATGAGGACCTGGATTGTGGGGGCAATAAGCTGACTTTGTATAAAAAAGAACACCGCTTAGTGGGGGCCGAAAGCCCTACTTAGCAGGTATATACAAACGTATGAAGGCTATTGCTTAACACATTGTAAGCCGCCCTGAGTCTCCGGAGAAGGGCAGCATATAAATCGAACCAATAAATAAATAAATAAACAAACTGTCCTTATTTCTTATCTATGAACAAGACATGTTCAATTCTCCCAAACATTATATACAATTATTTCAATTTTTTAAAAAAGGATCACTGTCTATGGAGATTCTCAGTCATTCAGGACATGGTTGTCCCAAAAGTGCTTTTTTTCCAAGAGGCAACTGGACTTTCTGGTTTTTCTTTGAAGACGTTTTGTTTCTCATCTAAGAAGCTTCTAGGATGAGAAGCAAAACGTCTTCAAAGAAAAACCAGAAAATCCAGTTGCCTCTTGAAAAAAAGCACTTTTGGGACAACAAAAATTGCTTCTAAATATAAAATATCCTCTTTTAGTTACTGGGGCTCTGCGATGGTTCGTATTTGATTCCAAGATGGAGCTTCAGAAAACAAGTGGGTACAAACACTGCATTATTCTTCTGTCTCCAACCGCTGCCCTTGACCTTCCTTTGAAATCAAATACGAAGCACTGCACACACAGACCCCCTCAGTTATTAAAAATAATTAGGCCAAAGAAAAGATCACTAAAAACATGCAAAACACCTGAGGTTTACAACTCTCTTCATTTACATCAGGTTTACAAACTACTGATAAGGAAAGGGAAGGGATGGGAAGGGAAGGATACTCAACAGCAGTACAGGTGGTCCTCGACTTACAACAGTTCATTTAGTGACTGTTCAAAGTTACAATGGCCCTGAAAAAAAGTGACTTATGACCATTTTTCATACTTACGACCGTTGCAGCATCCCTATGGTCATGTGATCAAAATTCAGACGCTTGGCAACTGACTCATATTTATAAAGGTTGCATTGTCCCGGAGTCACGTGATCTGCTTTTGCGACCTTCTTATAAACAAAGTCAATGGGGAAACCAGCTTCACTTAACAACTGTGTTATTAACTCAACAACTGCAGTGATTCACTTAACAACTATGGCAAGAAAGTTCATAAAATGGGGCAAATTCTCTTAACAAATGTTTTCCTTAGCATCAGTAATGTTGGGCTCAATTATGGTCGTAAGTCGGGGACTACCTATATTTCACAAAGGGATGTTGCATAATTAGAATAGAATAACAGAGTTGGAAGGGACCTTGGAGGTCTTCTAGTCCAACCCCCTGCCCAGGCAGGAAACCCTACACCACTTCAGACAAATGGTTATCCAACATCTTCTTAAAAAATTTCCAGTGTTGGACCATTCACAACTTCTGCAGGCAAGTTGTTCCACTTATTAATTGTTCTAACTGTCAGGAAATTTCTCCTTAGAAGTTGCTTCTCTCCTTGATTAGTTTCCACCCATTGCTTCTTGTTCTACCCTCAGGTGCTTTGGAGAATAGTTTGACTCCCTCTTCTTTGTGGCAACCCCTGAGATATTGGTACACTGCTATCATGTCTCCCCTAGTCCTTCTTTTCATTAAACTAGACATACCCAGTTCCTGTAAGCATTCTTCATATGTTTTAGCCTCCAGTCCTCTAATCATCTTTGTTTCTCTTCTCTGCACTCTTTCTAGAGTCTCAACATCTTTTTAAAATCGTGGCGACCAAAACTGAATGTAATATTCCAAATGTGGCCTTACCAAGGCATTATAAACTGGTATTAACACTTCACGTGATCTTGATTCTATTTCTGTTTATGCAACCCAGAACTGTGTTGGCTTTTTTGGCAGCTGCTGCACACTGCTGGCTCATATCTAAATGGTTGTCCACTAGGACTCCAAGATCCCTCTCACAGTTACTACTATTGAGCAAGGTACCACATATACGGTACCTGTGCATTTTGTCTTCTTTTCATTTTGTAGAACCTTACTTTTTTATTTAATTAAGAGATGTAAAGAAACTGACCCCTGACAGGGTCCTAATATACTGTAATTTTTAAAAAATAATTAAGTTTTGGAAATCAGATATTTCAGTGACATAAACTTATGAGATCCGCTTTCACCTTGGAGTTCTATCCCTACAGTATATACTGCTATTGTATTAAAAACTATATGCAAAGTGGGATATCTTATTTTTCTCTGCATTCTTTGTAATGAAGATTCTTTTAATTTATTTGTAGATGTCAGATCCAGAAGCTCTAATTACTCTGAAAGAGACTTTCTAAGGGAAGCACTTATTTATGTGTTTTCCTAAAATCCACTTAGAAACCTGGAAATCTCAAGGCTGTATTTTGGACTAAGGTGTTTTTTTTTTAAATCCTAACAAAGAACAATAGCAAGTAATTTTTGCTAAGGAAGCAACATAGATGTACCTAGGTAGGTATAGGGAACTGAGCCTAACTTAAGAGAAACTTTGATTGAAACTCGAACTTTATATTGTACAGCTAAGGATGGCATACATAATGGTCCTCCCCACTACTTTTTATAAGTGCTGTCTTTAAAGAACACACATGCATTTGCAAAGTATATATAAAATAAAAGACTATTTGATTATTTTTAATATTAGCCACCTCTAACAGCTCTAATGTAACTCCCATTTCAGCAATGACATTTAGTCAGTGCATTTGGGTTATGTGTCATTTTGTTTTGCAAAATAAAAATATGTATTTGGAGAAAGTGTGGAAAAGGGGGTCCTCTTCAGTTTAATATGGTACAAGTTCTACCTTCACAGGTATATATAGTAGTTGACTCCCATTTCAGTTTTTGAAGGAATTCAATTCTCTCTCCCCCCTCTCTCTTTCTCTCTCTTTCTCTCTCCCTTCCCCCCCCACCCCCCTGGATAATCCTACAAAAATGACTGTGGAAACAATTGCATAAATGGCAAAAAAAAATTAGCATCCAAGATCTGCCATCACTACTGGCTTCTTTCAGAAGGCATCACAGTAGAAGAAGTGCTGAATACTATATCCTTCCTGACTCTCCTGTGGCCATGTTTCACTCTACATCCTTCTTTTGTCTCCAGTCCACTTTCTCCCCTCTCCTAATACTCCTCATTATCAATTAATGAGTGTATTTAAAAATCTCCAAGATCCCTATTATTTATTTTATTTATTTATTTATGTAATTTATATGCCGCCCTTCTCCCGAAGGACTCAGGGCGGCTTACAAAAGGAACATAAAAAAATACTTATAATTTATTATTAGCTTATTAAGCTAATTTATTATTAGCTTATACTTTCCTCTATCATCATCAGCGCCAGTTATAAACTTTGTCTGCAACTGTCAATCAGTGAGTGGTGATCTCAAAATGCGTAACAATCCAGAATTCAAATCACCACTTACACTTCTTTTATAATGATGTGATAGTGGAAGTTGAGTCCCTCTTAGGTCATAAAATAAACACAAAATGCAAAACTCGATTTTGCTATATCCAAGGAGTACAAAAGATAATGTAACAAAACCCCGCCTCCATTAGTTTCCAAGAAGGTCAAAGACAGTGGTTGGAGAGTGATCAGATTTCAGCATTTCATAATTTAGCAACATGCATTTGGTCTTCCGGACTCTAATAATAGAGTCTTAAAGTGACCCTTTAGGAAAAATAAGCCATATGCCTATTTAAAAGAACCAAATGCAAAAGCATAAAAAACACATGGAAGTCTTCTTCAGCTTGAATCCCTCCCTCCTAATTATGGATTATTTTCTTACTACAACCATCTTCATCACTATGGTCCCCACAGTCGTTGTCGCCATCACACTGCCATTGGGCAGGGATGCAAGTGCATTCGCCAAAAGCACTAACAGCACAGGTGAAATGGTTGCGGCCACAGGAACATTCAGAGCTGCTGCTAGCTGCACCTGCGGGAAAGAAATAATCAGTATTATCTTAGAGAAGAGTCTAGAAAGATAAGGATACAAAAAAGCATTCATATAAGGTCACCTTGCAAAGTATTTTCCAATTTATGTCAAGCAATCTATTATTCTACAGCTAACTGAATACAACTACTAAACGCAGCCAAACTGAGTCTATAACGTGTGTGCATATTATCAGGAAATGCATCCACTGAATAAATAGCGTAATTAATTTTCTACTTTCAGATGGATGAATGAATTAAAAATGAGTTATCCTATGAAAAATATATTTTCTGACTATTTGTGGTGTTAATTCTCTGACAAGAATTACAAAGTGTGGAAAAAATATGTATATTCTTCAAAGTAAGCAAAAATGCATTTTTCAGGAAATATGTGGCAAAGATGTGAATAGTTGGCAAAATTATGTGCATAGATAGACATGCATGTTAGATAGAAATGTGTGTGCATTGGCACTGCAAACTTTTCTTCCAAAACAGTCTCAAAAGATGGAGACTAGGGATGAATTGTAGTTAAAATTGGACAAATGAGAAATATAGAAAAATCATAATGGATCCAAATGCTATTTTTAATTTACAGTATGAGGAATTTCAATATGATACAGTATATCATTTGGTTAACTTTACCATGTCAATGTGCACAAGAAAAATCTCTGTCTTTATGGTATGTTGCATAGCAATGTATGCAATCTATGGTAATAATACGTGCTCTAACAAAACATTTTAAAAATATGTTTTAGATTATCCTTACAGCTTTGGGGCAGAAACAAAAATGCCAATTAAACAAAGTTATTAATAACAATAGCTAAACCGAAAGAATACACAACAGTGAGACAGATGACAATATCCCATTTTCAAATTCATTGTGTAATGTCACTTTATTTCTATTTCATAAACAAGTAGTGCTCAGTGTGTGTCATTTCCTTACATTTCTGTTTGGTTTTTTTTATAATCTCAAAGTGGCTCACAAAAATATAATAATTTTCTCTCTGTAGTAGCAGATAGCATGAAATAGCATTTCATGATGATATTAGCCATAATATGGGAGAAAAGAAGGGAGAAAAAAGATAGCAGATTTGAGGAAAGCCAAATTCCTTTCAAGTGAACCCTACCTCTAAAAATGGGACATGTGTTTCTGCACCATTCAAAGGGTTTCAGAAATCCAGAAGAGGATTCATGCCTATGAATATGACTCTGTCTCCACCTTGCATTCCAACCCCAGTCAGCCTAGAGATCCGGAAATGCTTTGGAAGTCAGGGCACCTGACTCCTGGGCAAGCAAAGCAGTTATTTAGGGAATAAAATATACTCTTCTCGTTGTATCAGAACGGTCCTGGTGCTCTTAATGATGCTTCAGATTCTAAATCGGAAATAGCCGCGGAATCTCTTCCTTTGCTGAGAAACTTGCAAATTGGCAAAAGGCAGGACAATAAGGAATGGCTATGAATCATTTCCCTTTCTAAGAGTAGCGGCAGGCACAAAACTTCAGTCTTTCAAGATATACTTAGATCAGGGGTGAAATCCAGCAGGTTCTGACAGGTTCTAGAGAACCAGTAGCGGAAATTTTGAGTAGTTCAGAGAACCGGCAAATACCACCTCTGGCTGGCCCCAGAGTGGGGTGGGAATGGGGATTTTGAAATATCCTTCCCCTGGAGTGGGGTGCGAATGGAGATTTTGCAGTATCCTTCCCCTGCCATGCCCACCAAGCCACACCACGCCAACACCAACAGAACCGATAGGAAAAAAAATTTGGATTTCACCACTGACTTAGATGCCTTGCTAGCATGCATGAGAGAGAAAGAGGGAATCCCAAATACTGCCAACCCCTTAGCAGGCTGCAAAACTAGGAGCTCAAATTGGTGGGACAAATGTTAAAGCATTAAAAATAAGGCGCTGCAAAAAAACACACACTCAGCCCAGAAATGTGTGATTTACCCCCAGAACCAATCTCACAAATCCTTTCACACACAAATATTGTATATTCTTGGTTTTTCCCACAAGTATTCTTTTTCAGCAAAGCTGCTGAGTTGGTTCTACAATGAGATAATTAGGAGGCAGAAACACCTACAATATAATGCAAATACCGAGAAATCTGCTCTGACCAATCCTCTACTCACTCCTACTTTATTCTAAGCATTGTTTTATAGGAAGACCCATTTTTTTTAAACTTTCTCCCTCCCCTTGCCAGAGTCTCCAATTGCATGATTAATCAATTGCCCCTACAGTGAAGAAACATTGATTACAAAGCAGTGTAATCTTGCTTTGGAGAACTGCCAAATAGCAACTATTTCTCCACTTCTCTCTTAAGAAACTGATTCGATCCTCAAGTGGCGATTCTTCAGTGAAAGAAAGTACAGTTAATCCTGTTTTAATGGAGGGATTTGTCGACCCGTTGTTTAAATAGAGAATTCTTCAGGCAGAAACTGAGAAAGTCACTTTGCATTCATACATACTATTGTGGAAGAAACAACGCTCACTTACAGAGCCCATCTAGCAGAAGTGGCAGAATTCATTTCAGATTGAGTCCTTTGGCTGCAAGCAGAGTGAAAACTTTGCAGAGCAGCAAAACACATAGCTGGAACACAACATCTATACTGTGTTTCATAATAATAGCTCTGGGAAATGGCCTGTGATTAAAATATATACGGAGGAAGAGGGCTCAATGTTTTAACTCACACTTTCTGAGATATTCCTTGACAAAGTGAGTATCGATTAATCAGAATAGAGCTGGAAGGGATCTTGGAGGCCTTCTAGTCCTGCCCTCTGCTCAAGCAGGAGATCCTATACCATTTCAGACAAGTGACTGTCTAGTCTCTTCTTAAAAACCTACATTGATGAAGTATCTACAACTTCTGAAGGCAAGCTATTCCACTGATTACTTGTTCTCACTGTTAGGTAGTTTCTCCTTAATTCCAGGTTGTTTCTCTCCTTGATTAATTTCCATCCATTGTTTCTTGTCCTGCCCTCTGGTGCTTTGGAGCCAAATGTTGTGAAAAGTTAAGCTTCTTCCAAATTTAGCTATTGGGTCATTCATAAAACCTTATTCTGATATATTGATATCTAACTGGAATGTGTGATTCTAAAGAAAAAAGACCTGAGTTAATTCTGACTACAGATTAATTGCTTCCCTAATGGCTTGCTAGAGCCTTTCACACACTTTTGTTCATCTGAAAATATTGAGGCTTACACGGAAAATTCTGACATTGAAAAGTCTCCTTTTCATTCTCAAGAAGCCGTGAACAATGCAATAGACAAATGCAGAAATGTGCCTTGAAAGCAAATATTGCAAATACTGAAATCATTTTTTTCCTGATTCCCTGTTGAAAAATTCTGAAAGTTTTCAACAGTGTGTCTTATTTGTTCTTATGTAGGCAAGCAACTAAGAACCAAAACCATTGCTATTTATACTTCAAATTTTCAGACGTGATCTATTTCCTGCCTACTTGTATTTTAGGAGCAAGAGAAAAAATCTTGCCTTTGACGATCTATTCTAGAGTGAAGTATTAAGTATCAAATTTATTTTGTTAAGGGAAACACTGTAGAGAATTCATACTGAAAATAATAGGTTTCACGCCTTATATATACAGCAACAAAGGTCCATGAAACTGCAAAATAAGCAAAGTACTTAAGGTAAAGTTACAAGATTACTTCAAGAGAAACTGAGCTGCAGGATCCTGTATTAACTGATTTGTAGATACTTCTCCCAGAATAACTCCTAGTATCTCAAACTGACAACTGTCTGTTTACCTTCTCTATCAGATAGCAGATATTGTTCTTATCGCCTGTCTTCCAGAAATCCTAGTATTGTCATTTTCTAGTTTTTAATACCCATCCAAGCACCATTCTTTCCTATAAAGGTAAAGGTACAGGATTCTCCTGTCCAGTCATGTCCAACATTTCTTGGCCGAGGGACCAGCATTGTCTGAAGACATTTCTGTGGTTGTGTGGCCAGCAAGACTATATACCACAAGCTCATGGAATGCTGTTACTTTCCCATCGAAGAGGTACTTATTTATTAACTTGCATTTGCACACTTTTGAAACTGCTAGGTGGGTAGGAGCTGGGGTAAGTAGCTTGAGCTCATCTCGTTGCATGATGCTGGGTCTCAAACCTGGGTTGTCAGCTTTCCAGTTTTTAACCGCTGAGCCATGGCACCTTCCTATTCTTTCCTATATTTATTGGTAAAACACTTCTTGATATTCTACTCACAATGTATTTAACCATCCCTATGTAGCATAATTGTACATATCATCTCAAGATCATGTTCCTGGATAAAAGGTTAATCTGTAATAGCGCCATGCTTTTAAACTATATTCACAATCAGGACCTCTAAAGATAATTTAGGGAAAAATCCTAGTTTTAAGACCTAAATTATGCATAGCCAACTGGTTTGTTGGACTATTCAGTTGGACTTTTTAATCATTGGTGACTGAACAGGCAACACCTTCATGTCAATTTCAATTAACAGCTACTGAGCATCCTGTGCATTCCAAAAGAGTCCTTGATGGTATTCAGTCTCTCCTTACTTGAAGCCACAATAATCTGCCAAAACTCTGATACTTAGATACTTCCAAGGCATTAGCTGCAATCCATTCCCTTAGTCTAATATATCATAACTACTAAATCTGTCCAAATTCACAGAGGTCAAATTCAACTTCATTGCTCAATTTGCTATAGGCAGCATATAGAATTCCAGGTGGTAGAGATCCTATGCTTCCTGTTCTTGATAATGCATTTCCTGATATTAGAAATATATATGGGTATGTTCTAAAATTTCATCTTAAATGTAGTCTCAGAATATCACATTGCAAGCTACCCAGTCACTCTCCAGTAGGAAAAAAAACCCAATACATTTAATCTTGAGATAGTATTTTATGTTTATTTTTTAGCTATGTATTAGAATGCATTCTAAAATCAGTATTTCCCAAGGCATAGACTCTCTACGAAAATTTGGAGCTTTTTAGCAACAATGAACAACGAATGATGAAAA